TGTCAATATATGCTTAAAAAATTACCTTTATATCAGGAAGGTTCATCTCAACTTCTGTACCTAAAATAATGCAGGCAGCAATATAAAAGGTATAAATTCACTGGCTGTATGTGAAACAAATTACAAATGTGGATGATCTTTAATTACGTCACTGTATTACAGCAGTGAGAAACCAAACCAGGACAAATAAATAAAATGCTAAAAACCCTGGATTATAAGTTTTTGGAAGAAATTTTCATCCCTACAGTGAATATAAATATAGAATAGACTCAAAAAATGACCTCATTATGGACATAATGGCACATTAAGGACATCCAATGCAATTACGACAGCTTGATACTGCTATTAACCAATCTCTACTATTGTAACCATTCTGACTAGTTATTATACGTTTAAGTTGCAGAACGTTTTTTGATTCCTCACAGATAGTGCTGTCTATTTATGGGAGAACTTTCTAAAGTAATTTTTTTCCACTTTGGTTTGAAAAAAAATTGAAAAATAGAATAGTAGAAAGAATCCTGGTGTCCTAGATTCTAGTCCTCTTATAAATTAATGGAGTGTACCTAATACATTTGGACTTATAAATGTTATTCTACCTGAGAGCTGAGCAAGATACAGATTTTATGCCAAATAAATCCTCCTTCATTCTATTTCATAGACTTAAAACTGATCTGCCTGTACTATTACCTCAAGGTATTATGAAATGGAAATATTCTTATCTGGTTTGCATCCTTTTCAGCTTTTAGAGATATTAGGTATAAAGTTGTTGCATTGTCTCCAGAGTCAGATCATTTTTTGAAGTGTATATTTTCTTATGTTTGGAAAAAGCAAATAAATTGATAGATGCGTGTATCTCTGAAAATGTAAGTATATGAGAAAAAGTATTAAATTTATAGTGGATAGTTTGAGCCCTCTATTCATTTCCACAAAAATATCAAGCAGTACATTCCTTTAAAAGGAAACTTTAATGTTAAAGTTATGTTTAAACTATATTAGCACAATAAGCATCTTTCAAGGGGGAAAGGTGATTATTTCTTCGAACATCTGCTTTTTAAATTACCTATTATTCAATTACATGGTCTTTTTGTTGCTTTTTATTTACAACGGTGTGACATAGCAGAAGAAGGAAGATATAAATGCTGACAGAAAAGTTAAACTTGCAAGAGAGAGGAAAAAATGGACTATTGCTACCTTAGTTCTTATTAGAAATAATTAATCTAATTTGTAAACAATATAATTCTTCCAAGAGGTCTTGGTATTCACTGAAGACCAGCAGAAGCAGCTTTGCTCTCACATTTTGCACAATACAGATACTCAAGTGATGTTCTGCTGAGCCATCATAACAGAATATAGGTGTCACATTATTATGGGCTTTGTATAAAACATCATGAACAGCTCCCAGATGCATAAGCCAGTCTCTACTCACATAGCTGAAATGATTTTTACCATCTTTCCTTTGGCATATGACAAAGAATGTGAAAAGCTGCTTTTTTCTTTTCTTGTCATCTTAAGTATTTGTGTCCTGCTCCAGAGCCCTTCAGCAGCACTGGTTGCAGTTGCTGTCATCCCTTTTCACAATCTGGTCATTTGCCTGAAACAGAAGATATAAAACAAAAATACAGCCAGGAGACTGTTAGCATATTATGATAATGGTTTTAAATTTGATAGGGAGTGTATAGTCCTTTGGGGCTGATAGTTTGTAGGTGCTAAGGGAGAGATCAGAGTAAATATTCTTATGGGCTTCCTGACCTAACATCTGTTACATAGTTCCTTTAGGCTTTGGAAAAGTAGATTCAGAGATCCAGCAGTCCTTTAGTGCATTAACGTGCATTAATGTATAGCATGATTTTGGCAGTGTTACAGTACTTGAACAGCTCAATCTTCCTTCTGCTAAAAGAAAAAAAACAAGGAATATAGATACATGCTGGCATGTGAGCATTGCTTAAGTAATTGCAGAAGATGTTAGATGGGAAATGCAATTTGTGTATGGCTATAAAACATATGATGGCAGGCAAACAGCTGTAATTTATTTAGGTTCATATACATTAAGATATGAATATACATCATTATATGAAACTCCAAATCCAAGTATACACACAGATGTCACAATAAAATATTTAACCTACTCATCAGACTGAATGCTTCCTAGATAACTTAGGGAGTAAGCTTGAACTAACTTTATGGCTTATAGAATAATTAATATTTCCACATGGATAAGTTTTAAATCATAATACTGTAATATACTAAAAGAAACCCCAATATTAAATTATTCTCTAGTGTTAAATACACATCATTAACTAAGGAAAACATCTCAAAGAAAATACTATGTTTAAAGGAATTTTAAATTCATGACATATTCCAGATTTAGGTCATTTGGAAGTACAGAGCTCAGACCCATCAGACAACATTGTCTTTCTTCTGATGTCTTCATTCACTGCATACCTAAATTAATGCATCTGTATTTCACCTCAGCTAACAGGCCTTGTAGGCGAGGCTAACATTACATTCTTTGATTTGAAAAGCTATAATTTATAGTCCTGGCTTAATTACCACAGTTAAGATCTGTAGAGGTGCAGTTTTCTTGTTCCTGATAAGAAACTGCAAAATTATTTCTCTCAAAGGAGAGGGAAGCTTGCTGTTTCTGGTCAACCCCCCAAAACTGCAACCAAACACTGAAAACAACCCCCTTCCCCAAACCCCTAAACAAACAAAAATCTGGCTCATTTTCCTGTCCTACAAGAGAAGGAAGAAAGAACTGATGGAACAGTCCTAAAGAATATTAATATTATAGCCAATACTATTTTGGGCTGAATATTACAGTAGAGATCATTTTTGTCTCTGATTATGGTTGAAAAACTTTGTCAGTGCTGTGCAATGCTGTCTTTTTGATCCATAATTTTATTTAAAATACTAACAATATAGCAATATTGCACAACACTATTTTTAATGCTATTCCCCTCTTTCCAACACTTGATAGTTTGCTGTGTGTGGATTTACTTCACCTTTTTAATTTGGTCTCACACCTATCCTTTTGGCTTTTCACGCTGTCTTTGCTTGATAAGGAAAGTAGCAAATTGCTAACAGGTCTATAAATTTTATAACTGAAGTGTCTATGTAAAGGTATAATATGTGGTGCTCTGTGTAGTGAATAGTATGGTAAATAGTAAATAGTATGGTAAAATATTTCCCTGCAGTGATGCCTCTTTCCTACAGATTTTCCTAAGGATCAGCAAAGGAACGTTTTAAGGAAGATGACAACGAGGCAAGATTAATTGTAGCAGTAATTTGGATGGAGATCTTAATGTTAACAAATCAAATTTTTAATTTACAGTTTTGTAAATACATCTGTCTCACTACAGGAAGAAGACCTTTAAAATGATTTTTTAAATCAGTTTTTTAATATATCTTTGAAGTGCAACACTGCTACTAGCAGTGATTTTCTTTTTCTAGAAAATTGCTGCAGATTTTATTTACTTAAGAAAAATATAAATCATACTTGATCTTTGGATGTACCATTTTGCTGTGAGTTAAATAGAGAGTTCCAGATAAAAGGCTGTTTTGTTTTTTTTTTCACCCAGAGAAAGTATTTGTATTTTTCACGTATTTCAAAAGGGCTTTCTTTCTAATTCAAACATGAGCCAAACTACTGATTGTCCCGACATAGCCATATAAACAAAAAAATCATGACTGAAGTTATGCTTCAGCATAGTTGTGAGAGCACAATATGTGTAATCTATTAGGAAGTAAGCTAAAAGTTGATTATTTAGTATATGCTTAAGAATTTTGTTGTTGATATGCAAGTAGTAATTAACATTTACAGTGTATCCATCATAGTACGTTAGTACATTTAAAGTAATTCAAACACTAAAATAATACTGCACCTATAAAAAAAAAAAAACTTTTAAATTTTGTTGGATTTTGCTTTCTCATATTATGTAGTTTCTGTCATTTATTCCTTTATATGTTTATAAAAAGAGAGACTTAAAACTGTTACCAGTAGAGTGAATGATATGCAGTGAAATCAGGTGCAGAGCTTGGCATCCACTTCATGCTGAATGCCTGTTTTATCATGAGTTTGAAATTTATTTCTTTTTATTATGGGGCTTTTATTTTTAAATGGATAAGTTTAGTTATTGTAAAAGCAAGACTATTTGTAATGGTTTGGGCCAAATATAGTGCAGTCAGATGGCCTGCAGGTTTACCTAAAGAGCTTTGACAACCTCTTAATCTTGATATGTATCACACCATCTATTCTAGTCACAGTCGTTTAAAAAGCATATAATGCATGTCATGCTAAATTGCACACTAGGTGTTTGTTTAGTATGGACGTAATTACACCATAAATTGAATTGCAGCTGAAACTGAAAATCGGACCTGTAGCAATATTTTCAAAGTTTATAGGTCTTTATGCTAAACCACATCTTACGTTTTCCCAGACAAACTATAGTTATCTTACTGCCCATTAACACTCCCTTCTGGATGAGGGAAGGAAAACAAGCCTCAGGTGCCAGAGGTTTACATTCTGATTTGGCAGTATTTTTAAGTCTATGTGTAGTTTTAATTAGGGGTCCAGGATGTGCTACAGTATTAAGGTCAATTATTAGTTTGCTCTCCTGAAAATTGATCCTGCTCTGTAGAATTTTGATATCTGCCTCATACTTGAAATTCTTCAGTTCTTGCACATTCAAAACTAACATTGACCGGTATCACTATCGATTGCTTCTGAACTGTAACAATCTCTCTTGCTTGTCTGATGTCTTTAATCTTTTTTTCCATCTCCATGACTAACCAATATTTATATTATCATGGAGACAATATATCCACATCCAGACTCATTTGTCTGCAAACTTGCAGAGTTTGTTTGTAAGACAAATTGGTGTAGAAACAGCCAAGCCTTTTGCCTTGGTGGAAGAGGAAAACATTCCAATGCATCCTAAATACAAAGATGTGTATGATGGAGTTACCTCTAACCTATTAATGTATTTTCTGTCTACTGACAGGTCCCATAAGCAGCATTTTGGTGAATAAGTATGGTAGCCGGCCTGTGATGATAGCAGGTGGAATCCTGTGTTCATTTGGAATGATTGCTTCCTCTTTCTGCAATAGCGTCCTGGAACTTTATCTATGTATTGGTGTTGTTGGAGGTAAGAGTCCTGTTTAAAAGGTATTGTTATGTTATGTTATATGCTATTTCTAATACTGTTTTGCCAATGATTCTTACTGATCAAGAACCCACTGTGCAAGGTATTGTACAACTGCAAGCCAAGAAGGTAGCAAGATCAGTTAATTTCACCTACGTTAACTATTTAATCCATTAAATTAGCTGGTATGATGTTAAATTATTTCTTAGGATATTTCAGGAACAACTGATGATTTTATTCAATAAGTGCTGTATGTATGTACCTTTCCACACTGCACTGTAATTATGGTATAAAAATTGATCGGCTCGTGACAGCACTTACTGCAGTCATTTGTATGGAATTTCATATTCATTCTTCTAGCTTTCAATCATGGTGCACTTCAAACAGGGTGGCAGAAGCTATCAGAATTCTAGTATAAATGCAAAAGCTAGTACCAGCTTTCTGTAGATTTGTACATACATATACTCTTACAGAAAAGTATAATAACTTTCAGATCAATATCTTTGTTTAAAATCCCCCAGGGTCAACCCCCAAGTAAAATGACTTATAATCTCCATCATAGGCCTGGATGCTGCCTCAGGCAATCATAAAGCCAGTAAATTAAATAACTTCCTTGTCAAAAGTTGTGTTATTTTGTTTTTGGTTGGTTGGTTTTTTTTAAGCTTCCTCCTCAGAATGAGGAAGGCAAGTGAGGTAAAATTGGCAGGTAATAAATGAACGATATGTGTTCCTATATTCAAGCTAAACTTTCTTTATATTGAAACTAAAGGAGTCCTTTGTTCAGTGATTTCTTAAAGCTTTTATTTTTTATATCATAAACTTGAGGACCACTGAAAAAGTAAAGTAAGGATGCACAGATGTGGCTATCAGAGAAAAAACTGTGCCACCCAGGAGATGCATAGCTACTTAAACCTTATTGCCTAGATGTCTTAATACAGAGAGAAGACCTAGAGGTCATATGCTTAGTTGACATGGATGCATGATCTGCTCCCATAGTTGACCTCTAGCCTCTTCCACCTTTGGTAGTGACTTCCATATCTGGGGAAGTGGAGCTGTATTTGCCCTAAAATAATAAAACATTTTGAGCTCCAATTTTGGATGAAAGTTTTATCATAAACAGGGCTGGAAATACAAAATGAGATTTATGCATTTAAATGCACCCTGCGTTTATCGTAGCTGAGGTGACATTTAATAACTTTTGTGAAATGAGCCAAGAGAGAATTGAATTATAGCTTAGTAAATATAAATGGTGAGTCAAGGTCCTGATACCATCATTACTCTGTGATTCCCCTGTCTCTGTAATTGCTGAAACACAACAAGGAGTTTTGGCTTCTATTGCCATGCTCCTGGGGGAAATGGCAGAATGCCATCATGACACAGTCTTGGCATTAACACACAGACAGCAATGAAACTATATTCTTTTCTCTGATGCTAGTTGGTTTCTATCTTCATTGGGAATCACTGGATTAGATACTAGTTATTTTAAGAATAACTTGAAAGAGATGTGATAAGTTTTTCACTGAATAACCTTCAATAATACTGTCTTTTATGTCTTGTGTAGGTCTGGGTTTAGCATTCAACTTACAGCCTGCCTTGACCATGATTGGCAAGTATTTCTATAAGAAGCGTCCCATTGCTAATGGATTGGCCATGGCTGGAAGTCCAGTGTTTCTGAGCACATTGGCACCTCTCAATCAATTCCTCTTTAATGCATTTGGCTGGAAAGGAAGCTTTCTCATTCTGGGAGGACTTCTTTTGAACTGCTGTGTAGCAGGGTCTCTTATGAGACCTGTTGGACCGAAAACAGTCCATCCTGTGAAAAAAGATGTTGAAAAAGGCACAGGAGATTCTACCTTGCACAAAAACAACAAGAAGTCTTTTTGGCAAACTATGAATAAATACCTAGATCTGTCCCTCTTCAAACACAGAGGGTTTCTGATCTATTTGTCAGGAAATGTCATTATGTTTATTGGCTTCTTCGCTCCAATAGTATTCTTGGCTCCTTATGCAAAGCACAAGGGAATTGATGAATATTCTGCTGCTTTTTTACTATCTATCTTAGCCTTTGTAGACATGTTTGCTAGGCCTTCAATGGGACTAGTAGCAAACTCCAAGTTTATCCGGCCAAAGATTCAGTACTTTTTTAGTTTTGCTGTCTTGTACAATGGCATCTGTCATGTCTTGTGCCCTCTAGCAACAAATTATACTGGCTTGGTGATATATGCTGTATTTTTTGGGTTTGCATTTGGAATGGTTAGCAGCGTTCTTTTTGAGACACTGATGGACCTCGTTGGGGCTGCCAGATTTTCCAGTGCGGTTGGACTTGTCACCATAGTGGAATGTTGCCCTGTGCTCATAGGCCCTCCTTTAGGAGGTAAGAATCTTTTTTATTTCAGTTTTTCAGACATTATAGCATAATCCTGCAGTTTAGCATTGAATTAATATAAACATTGTTCTTAATATTATTTAATGTTTTCACTGTGACTAGGAATGCATTGTAGCAGTGCACTGCATCAGTTATTTCTGAGCTTTACAGATGAAGATCCACATGTGAATCTAAAGGGATGCATTGCGCACATGTACAATATGTAGATTAAGAGCATATCTCTACTGGTCCATAAATCCAGGTGATAAACATATGTTTTCATGAGAGCACAATACTGATAAATTTGCAGTCTTGATTTACATGTATCCAGTTCCACTTTGCTCTTTGCCAAGACAGTTCTTAGCACCTCCCATATGAAGATAGGCTGAGAGAGCTGGGGCTGTTCAGCCTTGAGAAGGCTGCACAGAGACCTCATAGCAGCCTTCCAGTATCTGAAGGGGGCTTATAAGGATGCTGGGGATGGACTCTTCATTAGGGACTGTAGTGATAGGACAAGGGGTAATGGGTTAAAACTTAAACAGGGGAAGTTTCGATTGGATATAAAGAAGAAATTCTTTACTGTGAGGATGGTGAGGCACTGGAATGGATTGCCCAAGGAAGCTGTAATACTCCATCCCTGGCGGTGTTCAAGGCCTGGTTGGACAGAGCCTTGGGTGAGATGGTTTAATGCGAGGTGTCCCTGCCCATGGCAGGGGGATTGGAACCAGATGATCTTAAGGTCCTTTCCAACTCTAACTATTCTATGATTTTATGAACTGGTCAAATTCACTGGTCGGTTTTTGTGAATATCGCACAGTGTCTTATAGTTTCTGTAACACAGTGGCAGCTAGAGGAGCACGTAGTTAAATTTAAAATAGCAACTTTAATTAGTCTAAACAGAAAGGACTGACATTTCTGGAGCACTAGCAAGGAGGTACCGGAAAGGACAAGGCACCCTCAGCAGCCTAGGCAAGGTGAATGCATAGTTGGTTTCCATCATGGAACCATGGAGCATTGCATGCTGGCATGACTTCAAACCACAGTCATCTCACAGCCAGTTTTTAAGACTGTTTCTATAGCCAGCAGATACATGTAAACCAATTCAGAGTGTAAACTGACTGAAAGATGATAATGTTGCCAGTTTCTCTTTTTTGAGTATAAGGGGACCTTAAAAGGAGCCTAGGTGCATAGCTTGAACTATATTTGTAACCTGTTGGTTTCTAGCACCAAATTTATGAAGAATCTTATCTAATGTGTTTTCTGTTTGCTAGCTTTTTACCCACTGTTTAGTAATGCTGTTAGTAAGTTTTATAATCATAAGGTTTCTAATGATGCAAGATACTAAAGAAATAGATGTTCAGAACTTACTGAAACTTACTGAAATAGCGGTTAAATATATGTGTGTTGCAGTCTAAGCCCAACAATATAAAGATATAAAGACAGTATGATTGCCAGCGTGGTGAATGTACACTATATCAACATAAGCTGTGCTACAGAATTCAACAAGATTATGTGTGCCTAAAACCATTTATACATATTGAAGTATTTTAAGTACTGCTGTCAGTATTTCTATGAAAATAGCATTGTTGAGTGAAATTTTAAATATGACAAAACAATTCCACTCACTTTAGTACAGTAATATTTGTTCAAGTCTAATAGTCCTCAAGATAGTCCATATTTCCCTCGTCTCTTAACATGTAAATTCATTTTGGCAATGGTAGAAGAAAATATATTCCTCTCACACAGACTCTTCCTATGCCACCTAGTGGGCGGACTGAGCCTGTGACCGCTGGAGTCCAGCGTTGTCAGTTCTGAAGTCAATAGTAACTCTAAAGACATTAAATGTAATATTTATGGAGAAATAGCTTATGCAGCTATTTATTTTTCAGTATATTAGCTTTGCAGGAGTTTTGAAAAACAGTTGTTTGTGCTATAACTGTATGAATAATTGATTTATCTTATTAAATAGAGACAACAAAGGGGATGAACATATGGAAAAGCTAAATTCCAATTTTGATTAATTCATGTTCTTTAAAATATTATGCTGAGGTAATGTTAATGCAGAATTTCATTTTTAATCATCAGTTTTGTGAGACTATGCAGCAATAAAAAAGAGTGAATTGTACTAATTACACTAATAGGTGAATTATACACTTGCACTGCCATTTGAGTTTTTTGTAATGCTAGGCTTCTGAAATAAAGACTAAAATAATTTGATGACTTGTAAATGTGCATCAGGTGAATAGGCTGGTATTATGGCTTCAATCCAGTAAAAGCATCTAAATGCATACTAAATTGAAGTACAGAGGTTATCCTGTGAATTTCAGTGATAGTGTAGCAGAGTTCAAAGCTAAGGGCTTGGATACATGCAAATGTTGATTTGGGATTTGGGAAAATTTAGAAAGAATGGTTCATAAAGTGAAAGAACAGTTACATTTTATTTTCCTTGTCATGACCAAATTAATGTGGTGGATGTGAGTTTTAAGCACATGCTTCATAGTATAAAACTCAACAGTTAAGCACAGTAGCGGAAGGGACAAGCCTTTCTCTCTCTTTCACAAGTCACACAAAAGTAAAAATGAAAAGCAGGCATTTGATGTACTGTGACAGCAGCCTGAAAAGGCACATACCTTTTCACCCTATTGTCTGTATGCAGCCTCCATGAGTGTCAGTCACTCCAAAACAATAGGAAACAGAATTAGGAGGGGAATAAAATAATAAGACAATGAAAGAATGAAAATGAAAGAACTAAAAAACTCTCATTATTCATTAAGCTTTATTTTGTTCTGCAGTATTTTATCACTGTCAGAGATTCCAACAGTTCTTAGCTTGACTAATAAAGGTATCATTGGACTTTTCTGCTAGATATGTTAAAAAATTTGAACATGTTGAAAATGCTCTTCTGCTCCAATTTCAGAGCCAAGCAATATATAGATATTTTTCCTAGGAAAATATATGGATTGTATTAGGTATGCTATTCTAAAGGCTGTATTTCTCCTTGTGTTTGTATTTCAGGTTGGTTAGTGGATGTTACTGGTGAATATCAGTACATGTATTTTGTCTGCGGAGTGATTGTGATTGTGGCCAGTATCTGGTTATTCATTGGCAATACCATTAACTACAGGCTTTTGGCAAAAGAAAAGAAGTTAGAAGATGAGAAGCAGAAAGCACAGAAGAATGCTGACCCAAAGGAAGCAGAACCACTAACAAACAATGAGAGTGATGATGCTGCCAGGATTGCTGATAAAGCTCTTGAAGATCCTTCAGAGAGAGAAACCAATATTTAACCTGCAATATAGCTCAGAAGGCAACATTTCTGAGTTCCATTAGAAGTATGTCTTCAAGACACAGACCAGGTTTTGTAGTAAAAATGATCAGTCACTATATTGGATGGGAACAGATTTTTGCCCCATTGGCAAGACTCTAAGTTAAATTACTATCTACAGTTTATTTATTTCAGTAATACAAAATTGAGATTACAGAGGTAGTGACTCCATCCAAGTAAGTCCATGACACTATGACTCTCGACAATCAGGAGTCAGGTAAACCAGACTATATAGTCTTCCAATAACAAACGGTTCTGTTTCAGAAGTATATGTAATGCAAAAGTGTCTCCTGCTCTTGTTTGTGAAGATACTTTGTGTTCATCTTTTAAGTATTGTTAAATTCTGTTGAAATAATATGCCCAAACTGTACCTGCCACTGCTATTAAAAAGAATACAAGATCTGTTTCAAAAGAGACAGAGTACCCGAGCGAAGCACACTGAAACTTTTTTGTATGCCCACTAGATCAAAAAGATACAACATGTCTGTATAACCAATTATAAGAGGGATGTAAAAGTTAAGTCTGGAAGACAAACAGTTGGTGGGCACCATCTCTAAAATACAATAAACAGCTGAGTTACAGTATATTCTAGAAGTTGTTTCCTCCTGTGATAGCTGACTACATTGTACTTCAACATGGACATTTGAACACAAAGTACATTCACACCCCAGTAATTCAAACTAGAGCTAAAATTTGCCTGTATATAGAAGGATTTAGACCCAATATGTACATTGCTAGCAAAAGTGCCAATTTGTTTGATTATGTATTCCTATATGGCTGAAGGATCTGGATTGGATTGTGAAGCATTCTTCCTAAAGGGACTAGATTCAGAACCTATTGATGTTAAAAGGATACTTACCTTTGGCTTTTGTGGCCTGAATCGGTTTCATGGCACTGACTTCAAAGTAGATGCTTGGGTTTGCTGGCAACTCATTCGTTGCTTGATAGTTTACTGAGAGAAGATTAAAAGTCTAACTTTACGTCTTTGCAGACAAGTAACTTCATACCACTTCTCACCTCCCTTTCCCATGTACTTAGTAAAAAACTACTCTTTTGTAATGAAAGTTCAACAAAATGCTGCAAGAGACATTGATGGAAGTTTTGAATTGCTGTATCATTCTTGTGCAGGATATTTGCTCTTGTGTCCAAAATTACTCATGTCAATTAAAATCTTTACAGTTTTTCTTCTTCCTTCAGGCAAAAGAAAGTATAAGTGTACAATTTTACATAAATCATTTAGCATTGCACTTGAAGGCTAAAAGTGCAAGCTTTTGGAAGTATTAAGTGAAAATATTTCTGTTCTATTTGTAGGTGAGGAAAGGTGCTATTCCTTTTGGAGAGATGCATATAAATGCCTCAGAAGTTGTGAAAATTAAGGGTCTGATTCATAAAACATTTATGCACTGTTTATGCAAGATACACATACACTCAATTCTGGGAAAAGAATATGATTCATTTTATCATTCTTTTAAATCTCAAAATGTTGCAAATACATTTTACTGACAGCTAGCTGTGTTAAGCACACTTTGACGCACCAATAGCAAAAGAAAAAAAATACCAGTAAAATCGAGCAGATTTGGGAGTGCTTTTAAGAAAGCCATTTTTTTAATAGCAGTGTTCAGTAGTATTATTTTCAGGCTTCTAAAAATTTTGGTAGTGCTGGCTTCTGTTTTGCTGGGTTATCATCTTACATATTACGAAGTTCCACAGTAATGCTGAACTTTTTCATTATCTCAGCAATGTTTTGGGAAAGAAGCATCACGAATCTACACACAGCATGGTACAGAAAGTAATACCTACTTTTTACCTATTTATATGCAGGAAAAACAAATATCATCTACAAGACCTGTAATTTTATGGGTTCATCAGCAAGGAACTATGTGCATTTTGGAGTTTTGGGAGAAAATATGCATTACATTCTCAGATTTGAACAGCAAACTGGCTAAAGGAGAAAGACTTAGTCCCAGTAAAATTACAGTTCCTTTTACAGGCCCCAGCCTCACAGAAGAAATAAATATATTGAACCTCCATGGGAGCCATAGCCCTGCCAGCACCCTATGTGTTAAAAGCATTGCGCTGTTCTTGGTTATACAAACATGCAGGGTGAATTCCAGTATCTGTCAAGGTCCTACAGGCCCAGAGCCAGAAATCGATGGGGAGTTTTAGAGACAATAAGCTTTCATTTATTGAGGAATATAAGTTATAAATACCGGATTGTGAAAAATGAACTGGAATTTTAGCCAAAGAGTAGTCATCAGGAGCATCACTGCTCTTGACAGCAAGTGGTAGAAAGGCAGAGTTTATCTGAAAAGAAATGAATGTAGAGGCTGAACCAAAATGTCTGAGGCAAAATTCTAGGTGCTTATTATCTCTTTGCAAAAAAACAGTATGATTAAGAATAAAGGGTAGATGATAACAGGTGTCAGCTTTTGACTTAAGTCTGTTAAAAGTTGCTGTTAGGTAAATAAAGGAATCAAAAAAAGATGATAAAAAAGGTATCTCAGGAATCATGCAGGCAACTTACCTGTTCTATTCAGGATTGCAGAATATGATGCAAATGGCATAGGAAAGAAGGGAAAAACAAGGTTCCTCAAGCCATAGACATATCTGCCTCCCAGTAACAAACTATCTCAGAAGAAATACTGGATTATATAAATACAACCCTCTGCAGAGATACCACTCTTGTCTCTGGTCAACTATTAAAATTAATAGGAATGAAAGAACTGCTTCATCACCACTCACCAATGTGCAATTTTTAAGTCTGTAAAGTAAAATGATGTAGCAGGCAAATGGAGCAATATAAAGCAGGAACTGGGTCAAGTGAAACATTTCCTTACACTTCTTCCATTATTTTTCCTCTTGATACTAACAGCAAAATGAAAACCATCTGAATACTCTTGGTATTACTGAATATTAAAGAAGTTAAAATTCAGAGACGACTGAAGAAAATTGGAACCATATCTATGCAAAAACTGCTGGGAATTAAAAAACTGTCTTCCAAATAACAGGTCCTAATGGGGCAATTGCCTTGTATAAGAGTTCTTATTTCTAAAAGTAATAATAATAAATTGTCTTGGATCAACTCTTTATCAAGCAGCAAAGTAGCAAAATGAGTATAACTTGCCTTCAAACTCCTGAATATCACCCTTACTTGCACTGAGCTATAATTTGTACTGCAAATTGTTTAATCATTACACTTCTGCTTTAGGATAATACCTGGGTATATACCATTTCTCTAAAACCTCCTGATTTCTTTTCATTACCTCACTGCCAGTCTGGACCACTGCAGGACTGAGAGATGCCGTAGCTCTACAATCATAGGATCATAGAATGGTTTGGGTGGGAAGGGACCTTAAAGATCCAAGGTTCCAAACCCCCCCTGCCATGGTCAGGGACACCTTCTGCTAGACCAGGTTGCTCAAAGCCCCATCCAACCTGGCCTTGAACATTTCTAGGGATGGGGCAGCCACAGCTTCTCTGGGCAACCTGTGCCAGTGTCTCACTACCTTCATAGTGAAGAATGTTTTCCTAATATCTAATCTAAACCTCCCCTTTGTCAATTTAAATCCATTCCCCCTTGTCCTATTACTACACACCCTTCTAAAAAGTTCCTCTCTGTTTTTCTTGTAGGCCCCCTTTAGGCACTGGAAGCTGCTCTAAGGTCTCCTCTGACCCTTCTCTGCTCCAGGCTGAACAACTTCAGCTCTCGGAGTCTGTCTTCATAGGAGGTGCTCCAGCCCTCTGATCATCTTCATGGCCCTCCTCTGGACTCGCTCAAGCAGGGCCATATCCCCAACGAAGAAACATACTCTCAAACTTCAAGAGATACCACATACATCTGTTATGCCCTATGGAGTCTGTAGTCTCTGTCAGTGCAAGCAAATCCTTAACTGGTCTTAATCTCATTTATACATGTATACTTCATCCTTTACATTTCTCTGCCACAATGTCACAGATCCTAATTATCATCTTGTTCATCAATCAGTTCAATAAATCAAGAAAAATAAACCCAAAATTTTAAAATGAGTAGAAAAGGGGAAACATCAATAATTTTTCCTATCTAATGTCAAGGTTAAATTTCAAGTAGTTCCAGAATATACATCTAGATACTTTTATGTCTTTGGGTTTTTTGACATCATACCCTCTAGTAGATGGCAGTGTTTTCTGTCTTGCCTTTTCCAACTCCAAAGAAAGTCTTCTCACTAATAATTCTTAATACTTTTTCAAGAACATATCAAAATCTCACCCCCCACACCTCTCTCTCTTTCTCTTTATTGAACTGTGGCTGCAACTGTTGCCAGTTCTGCATAGGAAAAGTGGTAATGGATTCAAACTTAAACAGGAAAAGTTCAGGTTGAGCATAATAAGTTCCTTTTTGTGAGGGTGGTGAGGCACTGGAACAAGTTGCCCAAAGGAGTGGTAAATGCTCCAATCCTAGCAGTGTTCAAGGCCAGGCTGGACAGAGCCTCAGGTGACACGGTCTAGGGTGAGGCAACCCAAAGCAGGGGGGTTAGAACTAGATGATGTTAAGGTCCTTTCCAACCCTAACCATTTTATGATTCTATGATTTCCATTAAATTCACAAAAGCATCTTTTGATATGAAATCCTGCATCATAAGTAGTCAGACTACAATCTTTTCATTTCAGGTGTGTGATTTATGAGCTGTTTTGACAGAGTAGATTTTTTGTTTAAAAAGATGCTGTCCTTATGAGAGGAAGTTCAACTTCCCTTGGTCCTGAAGTGAATGACAGCAATTTCACTAACATGATTCAAAATTCACATGAATTTTAATGGTCTTTTTTGCATATCAACATCCAGTGTGCTTAACAAGCATTTGGCCATGTGTACATAGTCATTCCTCCCAGATAACTTGTATTCTTCTTGAAGGCTTGCCAATTCCACCCCACACCCCATTCTCCATTTTGATGCAACATAAAGATTTTGGACCTGGAATGTAGTGACTTTTTTCTTTTTTTCTTTTTTTTTCTTTTTTTTTTTTTCTGTTATTCTTTTTCCTCAAATGCCTAAGCAACAATTTTTTGCTTGCTACTTTCAGATCTCAATGGTTGTGAATGTTAGTGCAGGGGTATTTTTCAAATGTATAAGCTACAGATAGTACATACAGCCAGATAACAGGCAGCCATCAGGGTTTCATTAAACAAAGCCAGTGACCACTTTTATAGAAGAACATGCTGCAACTGATGTTGACAATATGCTTATAACCAAATTGAATCAAATAAATTTTTGTTAGTTTCTCAATAGGATTCTATTTTTATATTCACAGAGAATGATATAAAGGGAATTTTTAAATAGCTATTTTCAGAGGTGATATATCGATTTTAACAAGGTTCTCTGGATTTTTTTTTGCGGGGGTGCTTTTCTGATGTTTGTGCATTTACACATACAGGCCTTTTTGATCACATTTTGCAAAAGCATTGCTACGCAATTTCAACATAATTTGCATGTTGTTATTTTGCAGTTTGGATTTTTCTTGTCATCTACCTCTCAGTTGAAGTTTGGAGACTCACACAACCCTGGAAGAATATAGTTAACAAAAAGCATAATGCCAAAACCTGTACAGACTATTAGAAGCTCTTGCAAATGTTTGAAACCACTTCCAGTTCTATTTTTACGGCACTGCATATTTATGACCAAATTTTTTCTATCAATTGACATAGCTTTATTAAGTCTAAAGACTTAACCCATAGTGGTCTAGTTTTTTACATCACTGATCTGGTATAAAAACTCAATGTGCCATTTTGATATCCAAAATCTATCATGAGATGATGGACCTCTTTTTTTGGTTTTGTTTGTTTTTTTTTGGGGGGGGAGGTGGTAATTTATTTTTTTGTTGTCGTTTGCTTTTGGTTTTGTCTTCCCACTTCTGAGTTAATGGAATTAAATGGAAACTTTACATAGTTAATCCATCCAAACAGTTTTCTTAAAGTATTCCAGAACACTTTGCATCTTCCATCCTTGAAGGAAAATATTTCTTTGGTTTAGAAATAATACAGACATGTAGCTTGCTTTGAGGCAGTCGAGGGAAATGGCCACGAAGTGTTGGATTGGGGCCAAAAAACAATGATTGTTCCTCATATGTTCTTTACAAAACCAGAGATGATTGTTTTTTCCAAAATATTCTTTAGTATGTAAGCTGTTGTTGATTTATAGGATCTAATACAAAGTTCACTGAAGCTAGCATAAAAAAACCCTATCAAAGACTTTACCAGACATTGGAGTTGATGTGGCTTCGGTGAGGACTTCAGCCTTATTTTCTCCACATGAAATCTCAGGAGTAACATACATAAAACAACAAATGCAGGATTTGTTGCAACTGGCAAATTTAGCTATGCCTGCATAATATTCCTAATGAATCAGTCCCTAAATTAACGCACAATATGTATTGTTTTAATGGTCTATGTAAATAATAAAAAAACCTCCAAACCACCATAAACTCTGAATGTAGGTTATAAAATATAGAGGATATATTTAAGTAAATATCAGAACAAATCTGATTAACCCCAAAGGAAATTGTCTATTTCCTTTCAAGCCTTTCTTCAGCAGTTTATAATCTTAATTTTTCTTATTTCCAGAGAAAATGTTTTATGTCTTTTAGGAATGTATATACAGATATATATAAGGGAATACATATGCATATATGTGTATATATATGTATTCCCCTATATATAAGGCTTTAATTTATATATATTATATATATTAATGTATATATAAAATATATATAATATTTTAGAGTCAAGTTGCATACTGTGCCTGATAAATGAAATATATTTGTAAGCAAATAAAAGACTTCAGCAAATCACAGAAAAAAAAATCAAAGCTTTTCTGTAAGTATATATGCTATTCCTTTTCAGTTTATGCTGGTTTAATTTATAGTAGAAATTCATTCAGAAAATGGCAATATTACATAATGCTGGTATTTCGACCATAACTCAGTTCAAAGTGGCCTAATATCACTGAGAATGTTCATCATTGTTACACTGTAAAACCTAGATTGTTGGTGAAGGGGCTGGTTGGGTGTTTTTGCTGTGGAAGTATTAACTAGATGATCTCTGAACAGACTGCAACACATAGACTGAATTTTCATCTCTTGTAGTATGTATGACAAGATCATATGAAGTACTGATGGACATGGTAGTGTGATTAAAAGAATAGAAAATGAGAATAATTAAGGTGTTGTAAACTATATCCGTATTAAATTATTATAGGAAAGTGTCCAGATCACCAGGCTCTAAAAACATTGGCAATTTTTCATACTTTTTCTAGGTTTTGAATTTTTTTGGTTCTTTTTTTTGTTGTTATTGTTGTTTTTTTAACTTTGTCTTCAAGTAGGCAAACCCATGAAAAATCTACATTCACCTCTGACTCTTTAAAAGTTCTACCATAAATTT